GCCCATGGTTAGAGGGGTGATTACAAGTATCCCAGTGGAGGAGGTTTAGACACGGTATTTATGGTGGTGAAGTGAGCAAAATCAAAAGATTGATGAGAACAGTGGCAGGTGAAAGAGTGGAAAGTCTCTTGGTAATGTTGGAGTTTCAAACAAATGTTCTTCCTGAAAGGGTAAAGTTTGGTTTTTTTTGTTTTCTTTTAGGGCCATATATCCCTCCTCCTCTCAGGTGTTCTAAATGCCAGAGATATGGACACATCGCAGCAGCATGTAGGGGAAAACAGAGATGTCCAAAGTGTGGAGGAGAGCATAGCTATGATGAATGTAACAATGGGAAGGAAACTAGTTGGAGTTGTGGAGGGCAACATAGAGTGACCTATGGAAGATGTGAGGTCAGAAGAAAAGCAATGGAAATCGAAGAGGTTAAAGTCACTAATAAAATAAGTTATGCAGAAGCCGCTAAAAGAGTGAAGCCAAAAGAAGTGATGATAAGGAAGGTTCAGCCAAATCCAACACCAGAACAAAGACAGAGTGGAAAATGTGATAACAGTTGAAAGATTATGTAAATGTACAGATCAAGTTAAGCTGGTCGTACACTGTGCAATTTTTTTTAATCGTTGCACGCATCTGCTGCTCACACTGTACAACTAAATGCAGGGTTTAGTCGTACAGGGTTTAGTCGTACAGTGTGAGCTCACAACTCACGATTTATGTTCGGCCCGACGCTCTGATACGATCTACCTGCTCACACTGTACGACTAAAAACCACGTTGGACTGAGCTACGCAGTGAGATGGAGCTGCTCTGTAGCTCTCTATCCTGAAGCTAAACAAAGAGAAGAGGAATATTAAGCTCACAATAGTGAACCGCGCTGCCTTGGCAATTTGTGCAATTTTGTGCTGCAGGTCCTAGAAAGAAAGAGCGATGACGTATTTGGAAAAAGGACGTGGCTGAGCCGGCGTGGCTGCTGCGGTCTGTCTATTTTACAGACAGAGCTGCATTTCACTCATTGCATCCCTGCCATGCTTCTGGGTTTACATGTTTGATTTTCTCCCGACCTCATGATTCCTGATCGGGAGGTAGTCGTGAGAGGCTGATTGCCGCTCGTAACTCCCTGTACACTACACAACGTATGATCAGGCTGAAAGTCGTGCCGCCCGAAAGATTCTCGCACAACCGGAAAATTGCCCCGAAAATCGCACAATGTACGCCGGGCTTTAAGCAAAAAACTGAAAAAAATCGAAATAATAGTGAAAGGGGCGGAGAGGTTTTTTGGTATAAAGGACATATCCTGGGAACACATAAATAAGAGATTAGGGGCAGAAGGAAAGACAGGAGGACAGGAAGACAAAACCTGAACATTTTACAATGGAAAGCTAAAAGCCTTATTGCAATGGACAAGAGTTTAAAGGATTTGTTAGAGAATTTAAAGAAGATCTAAATATTATATGTATTCAGGAAACTTGGATTAAACCAAATCTACATACAAGAACACTTCAATGAATATTAAAACTATATACAAATATATACAGATGAATAAAAATATGGCTAATAGGGATAGCATTTATTATACCAAAGTTTCAAAGGAAGGATTAGTGATGGAGCTTCAGTGGATACAGGAGAAATTCTCGCTTTGCTTTTAGCAGTTCAATGGGTGGAAGAGGTAAGACCATTAAAATCTATTGTTTGCTCAGATTCTAGTTCATCATTAGTTCGTTTGCAAAATTATCAGTCAGACAGTAGACCAGATATATTAAGTTCTATTAAGATTGTGATTTATATGAAACCATATAAAGAAACACATTTTTACAATCCATGAGGTTTTTATTGCTGCTCATTCATCAATTTAGAAGTGATTAGAATAATTAAAAACATCCACAGCAGAATATAATCCATAAAATCAGTTGTATAAAATAGGTGATAGTTACTTTCAATCATAGCAGGTAAATAGAACATCTACAGAATCAAGAACAAAACTATTAGAATTAGTTCAAAGGAAAATTATACTTTCAAAAAATCTTTAAAAAGCAGAAACTTCACACTTCTAGAGGAGTCAGATTTCTTTAATACATTATTAAGACAAAGGCTTTTTACAGAGTTAAAGCAGGTTCAAACTGATCAGTAAAAATAACAGCAACATCATCAATCTAGTTTATCTTTTTAAACAAACATGTTTCATCATTTTAGGACTTCAATTTACCTGAACTACAGACTCCAGCCTCTAAACTGAGTTCTTTGATGTCCCGTAGTTTAACCCCATAATCCCAGCACCCCCTTTCAAGGTGGCTGGAGCTACTTTGCAACATTAATTAGCTTGTAGCTGACTAACTCTGAGACTGACACACACTTCTATATGTCCCAAATCTTCCTCTGAGACTCCTCTATAGATGATCTACTTCATTCTAATATCTATTCACCATAGCTCTAACACTGGGCCAGAAAAGCACCGATAGCTGAGATGCAATTATGATGCAATCTTATAACAATAATTGGTTTCCAAATTTTCAATTTCAAGAATAAATTCATTCAGAAAAACTTGTCTCACGCCCTTCCAAAATGACACGGTAGATGTCCACTCTAAATGATTTCAATCTAAACATCTAAAACGTCCCGCTTGATCGTCGTATGGACAGCAAACTTCCTACAACTGAGGCCTGTTTCACAAAGCCAGACTTAAATCCTCGATTCTGAATTGATCTAGCTTAAGGTTGGAAACCCAGTTGTTGGTTCCTCAACAGCTGTGCCTCGTTTAATCAACTAAGTAGATCCACCCAGAACTGAGTATGTGCATGTATGAGCAATTATTAAAAGCCACCATGAGAACAGGCAACATGAAGGGCCTGTTTAACCACTGGAACTAGAGATTTTAATGCAGCAACAAAAAAGTAGAAAGTATTTCAGTATGTAATCAATGAATGAATACTAATACCAACCCTAAACTAATGCCTTTTTATCCTGCAGAATCTATGTAACCAATTTAAACTATATGTAATCTGAAAATACTTTCAGCATTGACTCATGTATTGTAAAAAAATAAAAAAATGCTTTTGTTTGTTTGCCCATATTAAATAAACTAAACAGTTTATTCTGTCAACTGAGCAGATTTTTATCACATTAATTCCACGCTGGGATGTAATGCAAGCCATTCTAGGGGACTGGTGCTATTTGACTTGTTTTCTATAATGCTGTTATCACACATCAATGTTCTCTCACCAATATAAAGGGCTGTTAAATATCTGTTAAAGTAATCTGCAATGCTGCAGATGTGAGGACGAATAAGGTCGTGGATGTATGGAATGGATTGTGAGGTGAAACGGTAGCGCTCATTAAGATAACTTTCTGAATACAACGTACATCTATACGCAGTCTGAGAAACCTCTCCCTGTAAATATTCTATTCTCTGTGAATTAATGCAGTTCATTCTTTAATAAGATCCTTATCAAAAGGACATGCAATGTTTTATTTTAAAGCCTAAATGTGTCTAATGGACCTAGTGAAGAATATTTTTTTATTGGTTGCACAAAACTATGACAAAAATCTCCTGAGAAAATCAGGAAATAAAACGTGTTTGGCTTCAAGGTGGGTATAGACAGGACACAGAGTTCACTGAGGAAAACCTTCTTCCGACCAGGTTAGCTCTGGGCACAATGTTACTATAGTTACGGAAACAAGAGAATGAGGAAACTCTTTGTGAACAGAAAACTCAGAGTTTCCGTGATATCAGGTACAGAAAAACTGGGTTTTTCAGTAAACTTGATTTGTGAAATGGAACCCAATCTTGTACCCAAGATGTTTATTCCCTTCATTACAGAAAAAGTAAGAAATTATGAATGTAAACATTTTGTTGTTGTTATTAGGGCAATTTTCTTTTTTTTGGCAATTTAAATCTAATTTAACCAGGCCCAAAATAATTAACTCATATCACCATATTCACCCGGCACCTAAATATTTAACTCAGCCTGAAGAAGGTCTTTAAGCTGAGAGATTCTCATGTAATGAGGTGAAGGAGTTTCTACATGGACATTTATTGTGAGTCAAACGTGGAAAACGCCTCTACTGTTCATTCCTGGGGCGTCTAACAGCTGTGACTTCTTACCTGAAACATTAAATCTTTTTTATATAAATCATTCCACATCATTGTGAGGGACCGAGATGAAAAGCATTAAGAGTCACAGGAATTAATCCAAAAATAGTTTTTCTTTATTTTTAACCCAAAAAAGAAACTTACAAAAAAATACATGGGTTCAAGTTATAAAAGAGGCCAACCAAAAAGAGAAAATTTTACTCAAGCAAACTGTGCCCAAACTAACTGGCTGCATAACAAACATAACTGACCTAACAAAGAAATGACACATAAGGGTACATATACACTGGCTGATCAGACCATTAACACAATAGAGGTAATTCAAACTAAACAACCACAAATGACAAACATTGGCATTACAGTTAGGTTTGGCAAAAAAAAACAACAAATCTATATCTTAGAAAAATTAAAACAAATCTTAAGTGAAAGATTAAAAAAATTAGAAAAGGAAAATTCAAATTCCCCCCTTAAGCAACACCTAATGGAACAGTCCAATTTCCCCTCCTGCATTTTGCAGATCTGAACCCTGGCTGCCATCTTTTGTCTGGCCAAACGTCTAGGCACAACAGGTAAGAAACATTAGTGACAAAAACAGAAAGAAATATGAATGACTGCAAACAATAACAGTGAACTAAATGTGCGCGCTAACAAATAGAACACCTGCATTTGAACTAAGAATAAAGTTTATTGCAAACTAAAGTATGTTTTTGGATTAAATAAATAAAAGTGAATGCATAGTGCAGACTTAAGATGTGGCCATGGGTTTGGCCATCACAATCATGCATTAATATAAGTCATCCAACTACTCAAACTTTTGGCACAAATCATTCAAAACAACTTCTTACCTGTGTAAATTCTTATGCACCAGCAAAGCTTTTTCCAAAGGAGAAACACAAAATGCTTTTCAAATGTTCGAGTTCTTATGTGATTATCAAGATCAAACTTTGAGGTGAAGCTTTTTCCTCAGCGCAGACATTTAAAGGCTTCTCATCTGTGTGAATTTGGATGTGTCTTTTAAGGCAAGACTTTTTAGTGAAGCATTTTCCACAGGAGAGACATTTAAAAGGCTTTTCACCTGTATGAGTTAATATGTGGTTAGTCAAAGTACCCTTTCGATTAAAACTTTTACCACAAACCATACAAGAGAACGGCCTTTCACCTGTGTGAATTCTGATGTGTCTATCAAAAGCGGATCTAAGGCTGAAGCTTTTTCCACAGGGCAGACATTTATAAATCTTTTCACCTGTATGAGTTACTATGTGGTCAGTCAAAATACCTTTTTGATTAAAACTTTTGCCACAAACTGTACAAGAGAATGGCTTCTCACCTGTGTGAATTCTCATGTGACTAGTCAAACTACTTTTTTTAGGAAAATTTTTGTTACAACTGTTACAGGAAAAAGGCTTCTCACCAGTGTGAATTATGATGTGTCTATCAAGATTATATTTCTGAGTGAAGCGTTTCCCACAGGATACACATTTAAAAAGCTTTTCAGCTGTATGAGTTCTCAGATGTAAAGTCAAACTCCTTTTTACAAAAAAACTTTTGCTACAAACTTTACAGGAAAACGGGTTCTCACCTGTGTGAATTCGGACGTGTGCGTCAAGAAGAGATTTCTGAGAAAAGCTTTTTCCACAGGACAGACAATTAAAAGGTTTTTCACCTGTATGAGTTATTATGTGGTCAGTCAAAGTACGCTTTTGGTTAAAATGTTTTCCACAAGCCATACAAGAGAACGGCTTCTCTCCTTTGTGAATTCCGATGTGTCTATTAAGATTAGATTTATAAGAAAAGCTTTTTTCACAGAACACACATTTAAACATCTTCTGACCTGTGTGTGTTCTCATGTGAACCATTAAATATTCTTTTTTTAGAAAGTTTTCTCCACATGTCAAACATGGGAAAGGTTTCTCTCCTGTATCTTCAGTATCTTGCTTCAGAACAAGCTGGTCTTCATGCTCACTTATGGGGAGCTCCATGGTTTCCTCTTTTGTCCAGGGATGTTCTGGCTTCTGCTGCTCTTCTCTTTCCTGTAGACGGTCTGGAAAGACAAACACAGCAGAAAGGCTTTCTATTGTAGGTGAATCATCCTTGTGTCAATCTAACTACATATACACTCCTAGGAATGACATTTCCCAGGATGCACAGGAACAACGAAAATGTGAAAATAATGTCAGGCAGGTAATTCAGCTAATCTATTTTTTATTTACTTATTGACCACATCGCATTACATAACACTTTGTATGAAATGTAAAAGTCTTCTAACAATTTTTACTGACTCTGGAAATTATCACCAATTTTCCTTTTAAATTATGGTAACGGTATATATTCAGTTCAGAGCCCAGGCCTAATCTGAACAGATGATCTACAGATCTTAACCATTAAAGAAATGTTGAAACTTCTTCTTAGATTATTTTTTTAGGATGGACTGTTCAGGTTTTGCCCAGAGACTGCTGGAGATCGGCACCAGGCCCACTGCAACTCTTCTGATAACCCTCAAATGAGGGAAAACACATAGATTAGTACATCACAGAAGGCCAAAAGAACAGGAAGGAGCGCCCCAGAAAGCCAGAGCTCCATTCCATTCTGGTTCTATCCAGCTCTTTATCAAGCCTTCTGTCTCTGCTGACCTCAGTGCAGAGCAAAACCGCAAACCCTCTGACTTCAGCTCCTTAAACACAATAAGTAGAGAACTTCTTAAAAGGATGGTTAAAAAAAACACAGTACACCTTTTCTAAATGCACAAATTTGGGTAATGCAAAACATAACAAAAATAAGGAAAAAGTTAACAGATAACATTTTGCATCACATTATTCTCCAGAAATGATGTTGACTTTCAGCACTTTTACAGTCAGGGAGCTTTTTCCAGATCAGTGGAGCATATGAACTAAATGCTAGTTCTCCATGTTTGGTTTTAGTTCTGGGTGTAGAGAGGAGGCTGGAACTAGAAGACCTGAATGGTCTGGGAGGTTGATAAACTGAAAACAAATCTGTTATTTATTGTGGTGCTGATCCATTCAGTGATTTCTAGACCAACAGATTAATTTTAAAGTCTATTCAGTGAGCTACAGGGAGCAAGTGGAAGGACTTCAGAACCGGGCTGATGCTTTCTACTTTCGTAGTTCTAGTGAGATCACGGGCAGCAGAGTTTTGGATTCTGTCTGATGCATTTTTAGGCTAACCTAGACACTGTTTCAGAGATTAATTCTACTAAAGATAGATGCATGAATGCGTTTTTCTAGATCCTGTTTGGACATTAGTCCTTTAATTCTGGATATGATCTTCAGGTAATGAAAGGCTGACTTAGTAACTGCCTTTAAGCGCTTCTGAAGGTTCAGGTCTGACTCCATTATAACACCAAGATTTTGGCCATAATCTCTGGTTTCTAGCTGTAGGAGCTGGAGCTGTGTGCTAAATATGGATCTCTCCTCATTTGGTCTGAAAATTATTACCTCAGTTTTGGAGAAAAGTTGTAACATAACCACTATGTTATTTTCTCTTTTTGTAAGAAGTGCATTAAAGTGTACCGATAAGAAACTGTCTTGTAGAACAGTTATCTCATTGATAATGTTGTGTTTACAGTTTTATATTTTTCTTTTATGCTACTTTCATTGGGTTACATTTTTAGTAAGACTAATTATAAAAATCGATTTTGAGAGGCTTTTATTTTGACATCCAGTTAAACAGGAAGTTGTTAGAGGATGTGTTACAGGAGTCAGTTTGAGCCTGTCTGCAGCAGAGACAGCTGCCTTCATCTTCCACTCCTAATGTGTTACAGTTTGCTTCCTTGCTTGTTCAAGCAATGTCCGAAAGTATTTTGTTTTTGGAATCTGACAAATTTCTAGTAACTTTCATGGTAATTCATATGTTGGTTTTAGAAATGTTATAACAAATGCATGGTGTTCAGCTAAAATGTAATTCATGTGGATTCATGTACAATTCTTGACATATATTTTGTATATGTTTGTATTTCAGTTTCACAAAGTAAAGATTCAGTAAATTCACAACAAAGAATCTGCTTTTGTGGAGTTGCTGAGTATCTGTTTAGCTGCTTGGATAGCTAACTCTTAGCGAGGCCGAGACAGATAACATTATTTCGAATATTCACTGGTTAAAAATGATGATGGGAATTAATATGCTGGGTTATTTTGGTGAGGAGAAATTTCTCAATCAATAGGGGCGTATGCGTCGTTGTGCGCGGCTCGACAGGTGAGGAAGACGCGCACTGACAGGTCTGTGCAGCGAGGGTTTTTGTTTGGTTGCTTGTTAAAAACAAGTCAAAAAATAAAGGAAGAAAGATAAAACACAGTCAGAGTTTGTGTCAGTGCCACAGATCACCTCAGATCATGTAGAAAACTGATCGGAGTTTGCTCCCACAGGACGCCGCCCGGTGCAAGGAGACGCCACCCAGGGGAGAGAAAGACGCTCCGGTGAGACCTGGACTTTATTTTTCTTTTTGGGGTTTTTGGTGGTACCACTCTTTTTCTAATCTTTTTTGGCGGAGTTGTCATTTGGATTTTTCGTTTTGGAATGGACTTTAGACTTCCAGGATTATGTTTTGAGTTCGGAGCGTATGTAACTGCTGTGTGGACATTATTATTAAAATAAAAAAAGAATGGACAGTTTTGGACTTTCAGTCATTAGGGTTGTTTTGTTTTTTGCAGATATAAATTGAGAGTTTAGGTTTACTTATAAATTGGTTGTGAAGGATTTTGGGTTATTGATCATTTATACTGGTTATTGAATAAACTTTGGATTCTTGGTAGTATTGCAAGGTTTTTTTTTTTTTTTTTTATAAATCTTTGTTTGCTAATAAAATCAACATAATCTTACTAAGGGTTTGGATATTTTTTTCTTTGGTCTCAGATTTATAATGTAACACATTTTGCCTGTTTTCCTGTGAGTATTTTCTGAGTTCTGCTTTTAATCAAGCTGAATTTTACAAAGTTCAGCATATCCATGTATTGATCAGTTCTAAGCATCTAGCCAATGCTCTCATGGGTTAATGATGTAAAGCTGCGTGTCGCCTGCATAGTTATAGTAACTGATAATGCTGCTATAACCTGAGCTAAGGGGAGCATGTAGATGTTGAATAGGAGGAACCCCACATGTGATTTGTCTGGTCTCTGTTTTAAAGTTCCCCTCTGAAACATAAAAGTCCCTGTCCCTCAAGTACGATTTAAACCAGTTAATAGAATGTCGCTGAACACTTTAATCAGGACAGTCTCTGTACTGTGGTTGGAACAGAAAGCTGAATGGAACACATGAAAGCAGCTGGTCCTTGTTAGAAAGGCAGTTAACTAGGGCTGGGTATTTTGGCCAAAGTCCTAAATTGATTCGATTTTGATTCATACAGTTCTGAATCGATTCAATTCGATTCGATCTGCTCTAACAATAATGAAAGTGGCTCAACTGTTGCACAATACACATGTATTTAATTTTTTTTTCTTTCATATCAAAACAAAGTGCAAACAAAGTGCAGACTTGTAAACACCACAGTTTAAACTTGGGATGTAAACGAAACTGTCAAGTCTCAAAGTGCTAACTTGTACAAATGAAAGTTTTGCAAGTGAAAAACTTTTACTTCAACCCTGCAATTTGATTAAATGCATTTTCTCTTAAGGGCCAAAAAATACTGGCAAATAAATAGGAAGGTAAACTTGGGTCGGATGCAATCATAAACGACCTTTACCACTACCAAACCATGGAGAAAAAAAGTTTTGTATTCTATAATACTTAACTAGGATTTCAGTGGCCGATTATCTGCTCATCTGCACAACAACCAACGACTTCAGTGTGTGAAACTATTGGCCTTAAAACTGTTAGCACAAGTAGCTTCTTTCATCGGTTTTAACACCCGGACCAAATCCTCAGCAGTTGTTACATCCTCCTCTTTTAGGGTTCACAAATCTTTTTCGTTCCTTCTCACGTCTTGAGAAAGGAGAGTAGCAGAGATGGCTGGTTGTTGCTCTAAAAAGCGCTCCAGCATGTCCAATGCACTGTTCCATCTGGTCACAACATCAAGTGTTAGCTTATGCGCTGGTAGTTGAAGCAGCTGCTGTTTTTCTTTCAGTGTGTGGTTTGCTGTTGTATTACGGTGAAAGAACGTTGCCATACGCCTCACATGAGCAAGCAGACATGACACAGCAGAGATTTTTAGACCTGCCTGTGAGGCTAAGTTCAGGGTGTGCGCTAAGCAGCCGACATGCATCAGCTGCGTTGTTTCCACTGCATGAACCATATTTGCAGCATTGTCCGTAACAACTGCTGGGTGTTTGCTGCTCAGCCCCCATTTCTGTATGGCCCCCGTCAACATATTAGCAATATTTGCAGCAGTGTGGCTCAAGGTAACTTCAGTAGATATGAGGCGCCACTTGTTATCAATGTAGTGGGAAGTCACCATTATGTAGGACTGCGACTGTCATTTTGGAGATTTGTAGTTTATTGACAGTAACTGACCTCCGCTTGACAGATCTTGCAGACCACTTTGGCTTTATCCACCACATTGTCTTTAGTTCTTTTAAATCCGAAATGGTTCCAGGCGTCAGACTTTAATTGGGACGGCTTGCTGAGTGGTGTGTTACTTGCGTCGGCCATTTTGCATTTGCCCACGCCTGCTCTTGTACGTCAACGTCACTCACGTCTCTATAAAACTAATCGATCTCATTCCCTACACATCGATTTTGTAAAATTTTACTGGAATTGATCCAAAATAGATTAAATAGATTTTTTTACCCACTCCTACATTTAACTGTTGAAGAACTTTTCCAATAATCTTACTGATGAAGGGGAGGTTTTAGATGCGCCTGTAGTTCTGCAACATTGATTTGTCCAAGCTTCTCCTTTTCAACAATGGTTTGATATTTGCTTTTAAGGCCTGGGGGTAAAATACCCAACATGAGGAATGTGTTTATGATACGAATCAAATCATACTCTAAAAACGGGTAAAATCCTGCAAATAAAACTTCTGGGTAAAAATTCAAGACAGATGTAAGAGGAGCTTTGCTGTTGAATAATTT